GAATACTATGCATCCATAAAACAGGATGAATTCCTGTCCTTTGTAGGGATACAGATGCAGCTGGAAACCATCATTCTCAGCAAAGTATTGCAAGAACAGAAAAGCAAACACCGCATGTTCTCACTCATAGGAGGGAATTGAACAATGAGATCACTTGGACATGGGAAGGGGAACATCACACACCGGGGCCTATTATGTGGAAGGGGGAGGCTTGAGGGGGGAGGGATGGCATTGGGAGTTATAACTGATGTAAATGATGAGTTGATGGGTGCTGATGAGTTGATGGGTGCAGCACACCAACATGGCACATGTATATATATGTAACAGACCTGCATATTGTGCACATGTACCCTAGAACTTAAAGTATAATAACATAATAATGAGCTCACTTGGGACAAGTACTGAGCTAATGCCCCAACCATTCTCTCTGACTAGTCACACTCTATGATTGTAAGTTTGTTGGTTCAGTTTGACTTATAAGTGAAAGTCGAATTATATGGTAATAATGATTTTTCAACACAAAGAGTTATTTTCCCTTCTAAGAATAGAGAAATAACTCAGTAATTTCACAGGCCGAATTAGATCTATAGATAAAATGAAATATCTAAAGGACGAAACTGTTAGTACAAATTGGTTTTACAAAGTACTAAGAACATAGTAAAAATGAGTTTCAAATTTATTATACTCAGATGAATGTGGCATCATTTTCCCAGTACTGTTTTAAGAATTCTTCATTGACTTACTAGGTTTATAGCTCACCAAATAATTTACTGCCATTATGGCTTAAAAGTCCTGAAAACATGATGTGTTATTGCCAAAGTACTTGACTTCCCCATGATTTTTATGACCTCAGAAATCAGGGTTAAGCAGAAATTAATTAAATTTGAGAAGAAATAGGAAAAAAATGAGAGAAATATCTCTATTACAGGGCCACATCTTCATTAAAAATGTTCTCCTTCACAAAATACATACATTTTTTCTCTCAATTTTCTCTTTCATTATTATCTCAATTCATTTTACAAATAACTATTGATCTCTTCATAAGACATTCTGGATAATGTCCTGAGACTAAGGATTCAATAAAGAAAAAAGCAGATGTTTCCCACAGTACTACGTTGAGTGCTAAGAAGTACAGAGAGTGCTAACAATAATCAGGGGACTTGACCTAATACTGAATAAATATTCTTGCAGGATCACCATTTGAATTAATGTTTGAATGATGAACAGGAATTAATTTGGAGAGGAGGTAAGAAAAGAACATTCCATGTAGAAAGAGCGGAATGTCTCTTGCATTAAAATTAAAGAACTAAAAGATCTTGTTGAGTGGCAGTAACTAAAAGATTAGTATAGTTAGAGATCAGAAATTAAAGAGGTGAATTGAGTGAGGTAAGACTTCAAGTAAAGGGTTACAGGTCCTGTTAAAAATGTTGGCTTTTTATCCTAAGGTAAGCGGTAGTGGTCTTCTGATTTGAAAAGATCACTCGGATTCCATGGTAGATAATGGAATGGTTGGAGAAAGGACTGAAGTGGATACTGATGCTGCAGTCAACTCCTCAATAATCAGCATAACTGCATGTAAGCTATTCTAAAAGTTAAAATTTCAACTAATAGATATGCTTCATGTTTTATTCTCTGAGAAAAGCTCTGTAACCTCTTGTACAAATACATTTCCTTGCACAAAAACTGATATCCCATTATAAAACCCCTTTCAAATACCCTTTTTGAAGCTTGCTAGCTTATGTCTCTAAAGTTTATCTTGTCTATCCTGCTTGGGATAAAGATACATGTGCACCACTACCTATGTATCAAGGGAACTCTCCTCTACACCTCTACTAACCACTAAAAATTCTTAGAGTGGCTGTCTGGTCACTGTCTTATAAAAATGAAAGAATGTAATTCTGACATGTTAAGAAACTAATATGAAGTGGTCCCAACCCCTGGCTTGTGGTTACATTCTTTGCTTACATTCTGCATTGCATTTGTTATAAACAATAAAGTCTGGCTTTAAATTAGGAGTCGGGAGTCTTTTCAATATATGGCTGGAGGTAAAACAGGAGATTTTTGTCATTTATGGAAAGGATTACTAGATAGTAGATGTAGAAAGAGAAAAGAACATAGTGAAGTAATAGTTAGAAGGCAACAATCTACAGTATTCAGTGCTTGATTTGTTCTGGGAAACGTAAGAGAAGAGGGTTTCAAACGTTAGCCCCAAATTTCTGAACTGCAGGACTGAATAAATGGTAATACTAGTTCCTGAGTTTGGGAGTACTTATAAAAACAGGAGCCAACCATGCTAAGAACTGAGTTAAGAGCATTCCAAAAAACTGCAGAAACACATACAAAAGTCCACAACATAAAATAAAATACATGGCATGTTCAGTAAAATGATGAAAGACCAGAATACCTAAGGCTATGGGATTCTCAAGAGAAAAGAATAGAATTGAGGCTGGAGAGCTAGGTTCATATCTGATAAGATGTGGATTTGTAGGCTACCATGAGTAGTTAGAACTATTCTGAATGCAATAAAACTTTAAAAGTTTTAAGAATTAACATTTTAATTGGATTTAAATTATATGAATATAATGTTGTGGTCTTTAGTAAAATGAAGGGAGAGAGTGAAATAATGGAAATAGGAGACCAGTTGTAGGGTCGTTTTAGAATGCAGGGAAGAGATAATTGTGACCTGGATAAAGGCATGACAGAGGATACAAAAGAAGTACAATATAACAAGAAATATTTTGAAGATACAATTAATAGTTCATGCTAAGGTTTATATGAAGAGATAATGTTGTTGAGCTAAAGAGAAAGAAGTTAGAAAATATCCTATGTTTCTAAGCAGTAAGAAAATAATGTAGTAAAAGTTTTATGCAAAGGAAAAAGTGAAGGTTCCATTTTGGATATGTTAATTGTGAGATGTCTGTGGAACATGGAAGTGGTGATAACACGCATCTGATGGAAATACGAGACTGAAGTCCAAGTTCTGATGACGATACCTAGGTGTCCACAGAAAATACTTGCTTAAAATCGACGGAATTGTTTCCAATCACCTAGAGAAGAGAAGATAGAGAAAGAAGATAAATAGATGAAAGTTAGGACTTAGGTGGAACAGAATAAGATGATCCAGTTAAAAAACAAAAACAAACAAACAAAAAAACCTGAAAAAGAGTAATCAGTGAGACAGAAGGAAATCAGGAGACTAGAAAAACTTGACTAGAGGAAGATAGAAAGAGAAAGTGACCCACCATCTTGAATACTGGTGTGAAATGGTTTAAGGTGAGGATAGAGAAGAATATTGGACTGGTAACATAAATGTCATCGATGATGTTGTCAAGATCAGATTGAATGAAGTAACAATGGTGAAAACTGGACAGTAGACACATGAATAATGATGGAGGAAGAGGATGTGCAGAGAATGTGATAAAAAGAGATATTTAATTAGGAGAGGGAGCAGGGAAATGAGCAAAGAAATATACCCCAAAGAATATCTGAGGGCGGCCATTGATGTTTTTAGTTGGAACACTGTAATACATGTAATCTAGGATGACTAATGCAGAAGAAAGGGAAAGACTGCTAAATCAAAAGAGGAAGGATAATCCAAAGTCCTCCAAAAGATAAAAATGGAATGGTATCATTAACATAAGCAGAGAAAATGGCCTTTCTTAGAATGAGGTGTACTTTCTTCATTATAATAGGAGAAAAAGAGGAAAATGCTAGGGGAAAATGCAGGACAGTCCTCCAAGTGGCCTTGGACCAACCCAGTTTTTCCCCTTCTCTCACTTGTGCTTCTCAAGAATAGATGTAGAATGAGCTGGGAATGCAACATCCTGAGATAAGGCTCAGACTCTCTTACTGTGTCTCTTAGAACAGCTTTTTCTTGAGTGCTTTAGCCCAGTGTATCATGTGATGCCTGGGTTATAAAATACAGGGCAGGCTTCTTTCAAGGGTTCCTCAGCTGTGGTACAAATAGGACATGTGCAAATGAGACTTCACCACCCTGGGCAAACTGTGTGAGTCTTGGGAGGCTGTCTCCTCATGAACCCCAGGCTGCTGTGTCCTTTGATGCCTATCCGTAAGCAATAAACCTGCTTCATGCAACTTTTTGTGTGTATGTTCTAAATCACTGGAAATTCAAGTAGTAGAAACTGCAGTCCAAGATGCAGTGAGCCAAAGTGGTACCAACGCATAGTGAATCTGCCTTGTGGCAGGAACACTTTACAGGTGAAAAGAATAGACAGTTTCCGAGTTGTGGCCTCTATGCTCTCATTTAAGTGTAAACAAAATAACTGAGAGTTATAAGGAAACCCAGATGAGAGCCCTAATGAATTCCATATTTAAAGTCAAGATGAAGAAGAATGAATAGGTAGAGAATTGGGAAGAAAACCCAGACTACAAGGTGTCGTGAAAACCCTAAGTAAATATCCATATTGTAGAATAAGTAAAAGAACAAAAAGTCATAAACACGAAGTCTAAGCAGTGAGAAAAAAAATGAAAAAGAAGAAAGAATATAAAGTAGGAGAAGATTCCAGCGAGCTCAATAGAATTAACAACTGTAGATTGTATAATTTAGGTTTCTTCTATTGTTTAACGTTATTAACATGAAAAGTACTTGCATATTATAAAAACCATACAACCGGGCTAATTTTGCATGGGAATCAACATTAAACCAGCAATTCCTAATTAACTGATAAAAACACTCTTTGGAAGAATTACAGAATGACAGAAATTAAAGGTAGACAGTTAGGTAAATGATGCTAATGACAACAAACATATAGGTTAAGATGCTTTTCTTAGTTCATATGTTAAATGAGTTAAAGTCAGTCTTCTGAGGCATAATGATGTGCTGACTGTAACTATCTTATAATTATTTGATAATTGAGTGGGATTTTCATACTATTGAGTTTTTTTCTGAATTTTTCAAGTTGATTACTAATTGCAGCTTTGACTAAAAATTAATGAAATATAAATATTACTGTATATGTAAGAAAAGAAACACACTTGGCTATTGTTTTGAGGATATGCATTTAATTTTAAAATTTATAATTTAGATTCAACATGAATTGCAATAAATGGATCTTCAGCAGAGTTACTAATAGAAAATTGAGCTTTGCCATCATTAGAAACGTAGATTTTAATGCCTGTGCAATTGCCATCAATTTTATCTCCAGAAATGACATCACAGTATGTGCCAGCAGGAAGACCAGTTTGCAAAGTTGAAGAAAATGACCTAGAATAAAAAATTTGAGATTTAACTTCAATACAATGAAAACCAGGAACACAAACGAACACAAATAAACAGCATAACTTTATGTTGTAGAACCCTAAGCAGACAAGGTCTCATTAAGAAGAAAACCCGTATGCCTCTCTAGTAGGTGTAAATAGCTTTCTCAGGACCAAAAGGAACCTTACAGCAAACTGAACAAGCCCCTGGTCAGTAGTGAAAATATTACCAGAAAATCAAACTTGAAGAATATCAGTGAAGACTGGCAGGAACGGTCACACTTTGATAAAAGTGCTACCTTAGTAAATTCAAATTTGTTCTCAACTGAACTTAATACCAACTACTTTTAACAATTTAAACGGTATTATTTTTTAACCTCCTTTTTTTTCTCATGAGGTTAAAAAGAATTTGGGTATACATACAAACAATCTAGCATTTCTATGAAGAAGTGATCATTTGAAATATAAATCTTTTTCACAAAAATTTATTTTGGTATTCTCATCCACAAAAGAAATTAATTAAAGAACCAGACATCAGCCTTTTTGGCAGGAAAGAGATCGACTTGACTTATATATTTATTTATTCCTTCATTTTTTATCAGTGAAATATAATTTATATTAGAATGAGCTAAGTGTGAGTATCAGTTGGCCTTGGACAGAGACAATTCAACTGTTTGCAAGGAAGTCTTCTGAGCTATATGTTAGGGAATCATTTATACCACAGGCAAAGGATATAAGAATCACAGGTGAAAGGCCAATAATGAGAAGTTTCAGAACTAAAACTCAAATCTCCCGAAGCAAATCATTAACCACAAGATACATATTATTTATATATATGCTTTAAAAATGTGATTTGTCACAAGGAGCCAGAGAAGTGAAGAAACTATACCAAAAAACTAGGTAGAGCAGTCCTTGAGAAAAACAGTTAGAAATAAAGGTATTTTAATACTGAGGCAGCATTTTTTCATGATTAAAAAAGCAGGACTACAAGACACATTCTTTTAATGATTTCACAATCCTTATATTAATTACCTTGTGTATTTTGTGGCATGTGTAGGTGAGCATATGCATGTTAATTCTATGTATGTATAAGATACTGCAAGGGTACACAGAAAGGACTCTGCTTACAACAGAAAGCCCTTATGAAAAGAGGAGAACGAAGGAGGAAGAACCATCATCATTTTGCTTCTGCCCATTTTTGATCGCTATTGTCTTGCTCCACCGACTAAATGATTTTTCAGATACCATAAAAAGTAAATGAACAGAAACAAAAAGAATGAATCAAGAACATACTGATACAAAATATTATTTTTAATTGATATTTACTTACCAGTCATCATTGTTGAAAACAATGAATCCTTTGTTTCCTCTTCCAAAAGCCACTTGGTTGCTCCCATTATCATACCAGTTTGTAAAAGGCTCACCATCCACTACATTGCGGAAAGCAACCATGTTCCTACAAACACAGTAACATAAAAAAGTTGATATTCTTAAACTTCAACTGTTTTAAATAAAGTGCTAAAGAAAGTTTCCTATTAGAGGACATGTCAAAATAAATATTCTCACCTTATTTGGCGCCATCGATGTTCACAGACCCAGTCATTGCCACAAGTAGTGTCTGGATTAATAGTAACTTCTTTAATTACTCCATTATTATTTGGTGGCCCAACCCAATCATTAACATCCTGAATTAGGGGGGGAAAGCCAAATTTTAACATACATGTATTTACCTCTTCCTTCTCCTTTATACCAAACCCAACCTATCCTGTTACTTGTGTCTCTGCAGTCAGTGACTTTATCTAGAATCCAATGCCTTCATTAATTTTTATAGCCCTTTACTTGGTCTTCATCATCTCTCTATGCTCCGGTTCTTTTCTGCCATATTAAAAACAAAGGTAACAAATTTTTATACTCTCGTTTTCATTCCAAGGACATGCAAAGGCTTCTTTGCTCTGTCACCCAGGCTGGAGTACAGCGACACAATCATAGCTCACTGCAGCCTTGATCTCCCAGGCTCAAGCGATCCTCCCATCTCAGCCTCCCAAGTAGCTAAGACTGTTGATGTGCACCACCACACCCAGTTCATTTTTTTTTTTTTTTTTTTTTAATTTTCGGTACAGACGAGGTCTTGCTAGCTTGCTCAGATTTGTCTTGAACTCCTCAGGTCACGTGATCTTCTCGCCTGGCCTCGCAAAGTGCTGGGATTACAGCTGTGAGCCACTGCACCTGGCCTGCAAGGGCTTCTTAACATCACTGTAAGCCATGCAATGTCTTTGTAGTGGGCAGGGCATTAGTGCCAGAAACACCAAGATTAAAACACGGGCTCTATTACTAGTAGCTAAGAAAACTTAATCAATATACATAATTCACTGTGTCTGTTTTGTCATTTGTAAAATGGGAATATTGTTTATCTTTGCTCCAAAAATTAAGTAGTATATCTGAAAATGCCCTGAACGTGACATGTGCTAAATAAATCTTAGAGTCCTTCATGCTTCTTTTTAGATAAATGGACAAAATAATACATCTGAATATTTTTTATTAATTGACCACATTTTTAATACTATGTGTTTTGGATTGGCACTTTAAAAAATACAAATTAAAAAAAAAACACAGTAACCCTAGGAAGGTTTTCAGTGTTGACTTTAGAATCATGTCATATGGTGAAAAGTGAACAATACTAAGAATTTTTAGCATGCAGCAGTCCTGGCAAAGTGGAAACGTTATAGTAATAGGAAAAATAAAAATACTCTCTGACTCCTAACGTCAGAAATAAGACCAATTAGTAGAAATTATAAGAAATTGGCTCGATATAAAAGTACACCTTCTAAATATTAAAGCTGTTTAACAACAGAATCAGTTGCCGTACAAAGTAGCCGACTTCTCAAACTGAAAGGAATCTAAAAGAAGCTAGCTAGATATCAGTGTGACTCATAGGAAGGAGGAATTTCTGCTTTAGACTTGAAGTCTCTGATGCTGTTTCTGAACCCTTTAGATTGAAAGAAACCCTTCTACTAGCTTTCCAAATATCTTTACACTCTTATTTCTCTGTTCCTTTGTGAAACTACTCATCAGATTAATGTCTTTACCACACTCCCAAAAGTTTTTCTCATTCTTACCTTTCTTGGAATACTCTATACATTTCTATTCTTTAGTACATATAATTTCCTTCCTCTTATAGGACACTTTGCCTATTTAACTTAGCTCAACTGACTCATTTCTTTGTATTCCATGTAACATTTTAAAAGTACTTAACAAACATTTATGTTGTTCTCACTACGGGCAGATGATGTTTTAAGTTCTCTACAAGTGTTGGCATATAAAATCTTGCTATCAACCCTGAGGTAGATACTTATTAGAAATACATATTTTACTCCCTGTGTCTAGCTCTTATTTTTAGGTGTTTTTTTTTTTTTCTTTTTCCTGTTGGCTAGGGGGATGTTTCGTATCTCTGAAACAGCTTGCATACTCTTTTTCAACGAAGAACATAAATTTTACTCCTTTAATATAACCTGCCTAAAATCAGAGCCCTGTGTCAGGTTTACACATAATTAAATATTTGTTGAATAAATACATAATTAATAGTTGTCATATTAAGTTATAACATGATTGCCTCCTTTTTCTTGAGAAAAGGATATTTTGAACAACTCCAAAACTTACTTTTCCATTTTGAAAATTTCTTGGCCAACGGTAGCTTGACATTACTCGTGTAAATCCATAAGGATGAGCAAGCATAAATCCAACTGCCATTTTATACAGCCTGAAAGTTACATAATTATATTATCATAGAATATCAGAATATTCTTACCATCATTAAAAGATGTGTTAAAAAAATAGAGAACTTTGGTTTCTACCTGGCGTCCCAGAAGGTAAGAATAGAGGCTCCTCCAGCCCCATGTCCTCGTTGATTGTCATGGTTATCCACAAAGACAAGTGCTCTGTCAGAAGGCACGAAACCCCAACCTTCTCCCCAGTTCCTATTTTTGAAAAATAAGATATACTTTGATGTATCATTTCACAATTGTTTTAGAGTAATTTAACTGCGCATCTCTTTCTGTAGGGCATGGCATCTGAAGATTAATTCTCTCTCTAATTAAATGGTTATTCTGTAAGATATATATTTACAGACACATATATATATGTGTGTCTACCTACATACCATACACACTCACGTGTGTAATCTACATATATAGTCCATATTTGTTTATACATGTTTGGAATACTTATGTTCATATTAGAAATACAAGATTTTTGTTATTAAAAAAGGTCCTTTTAGAGGTTTCAGCACATTATACTTTAGAAGCACTCCAGAAGGATCAATATCCATATCACATTATACAGAATGTCAAACTAGATTAAAATAAGGCTTCAATACTGTATTGTTACCATATACATATTTTAATATTTTAAATTAATGTATGTAAATTCTAAAGTATGGACACTTTGTACATACTTTATAAATGACAGGATCATTTTAAAAATAAACCGGCTTCAAAAGATTATATGCAAACATAAGTCAAATCTTGTATATTCATCTCGTACTTAGATGAAAATTCCTAGGGAATGTTTAGGGTTCCTAGGCATACCGTCTTATGACAGACACTCTAAATACAAAAGATGATTCATTCGAGTTTAGGGCACTAGAATACTTATCATTAAAAATTGCCTCCTTGACAGTTGTCTGAATAAGAATGTTCCAGAAGATAACTCACACTGGGGTAGTATGAATAATAGATCTATGAAATAATTCAGGGGAAAAGTTGTATTTAATTACTTTAAGTAAGACATCTTCTCTCCATTCCACTTGCGAATAACTGTGCCGAGTTTTGCACCATACTTGAATTCTGTCACCCGGCCATTTCCAAAGTAGTCACTGCTTTTAATTGGCTCACCACCCAGATCAATTACCTAGTAGAAATTTAGGAAAAAATAACATTTTTCATAAAGTCTTTTAAGCATTTTAACCAATAAGTAAATATTATATAACAAATAGCTTTAAGTTATTTATTATTTGTTTTTGTCTTGTTTTGTTTTTCAGAGACAGGGTCTTGCTATATCGTCCAGGATGGTCCCAAACTCCTGGCCTCAAGCAATCTTCCTGCCACAGCCTCCCAAAGTGCTGTGATTCGTGAAATCACAGCACGAGCCACCACACCCAGTGCTATTTGTTATGTAAAATGCTCAAAATGGTTTTCCTATTCTTATTATCTCAATAGGTAATATTCTTATATTCTTTTTTTGAGAAAGTATACACTACAATATTGAAAGACACATAATGTCAAAGTTACCTGCTGTCCTGTGAGAATGTTTACCTAATTTTTAGTCTTGTACATCAATGATAATAACAGATCACATTAATACATTTACTATCTGACTGACATTTCTTGATAAATATAAACTCATTTCATTTCCAAAGAAAATAAAGACATAACTATTGTCAGTATCCTATATTCTGTGTGCTCCATAAAACCTGTTGTGATAAAGAATTAGATATGCTGTATCTGAAGAAGAGGAGGTTAAAGAACAGTGTTTTACATAAATGACTCAGTCCTTATCCTACAGAAATTGCATGTTTAATTGAATCTGCCATTAATTTTCTAATGAATAAGATGATATTTTATATGCATATATGCATTGAATGTACCTCCTGGTAAATGAAAGGTTTACTTCCTTGAGGAAACCAGTTACTGTTGAGATTATGCAGTTTGTCCAAAACTGCCTTTATGTCTCCAGGCCACATGTGCTTGGAAGCATCAAGTCTGAACCCTGCAACTCCCATGTCAATGAGATTGTTCATATATTCGGCAATCTTGGAACGCACATAATCCTTCTCCAGCGCAAGATCAAGAAGACCAGTCAGACGACAATCTCTGACCTGTTGAGGTAAAAATGTTACGACTGATTCATAAAACCTCACTTTTCACCTGATAATCCATTTGCTTATTCATATATTCAGTAATTCCTCAATAGATGTTTTATAGGGACTTCCTTGCATTAGGACCTGGAGATGCTCACATTCTACTATAGATGTATCTTTGAAATATTTTGTAGTAGAAAATAGAGAATTTAAGAAATAAAGTCGATGAGCTTTTGAATTGGTTGGAAGATTTTTTAAAGTGAGCTTTTAAAAGTGTGTATTGATTAAAACTCTTAAATTAATATTTAAAAGTTTTAATATGGATTTGAGTTTCATAGTCAAATTTGTTAACCTGTGTCCCTAAGAGATCTAAATTAGTATTTAAACTGAAGCTCCATTAGCTACATGTCTATAATAAAAGGCATATATCACTCTTTATTCAGATCACTGTCTTAAAAAAAAATTACCTGAGTAGCATCATTATAGTTCTCGATATCTCCACTTGAAGTTTTACATTTACCATCATTAAAATCCCATCCAGAATACGGGACTGCTGGAAAGTCCCTACTTCCAGGGTTGAAATAACTTCCACAAGTACTGCTTGTTCCTGCACTCACAGCATTACCACACATATGATTAATTACAGCATCCACATAAATACGAACCTAGAAAGCAAAGTTTCTACTTCAGTGTGACTGACAGAGAGGTAGACACTTAAAGCAGTATTGATTAAAGTTTATAGTATGTTAATAAAACTCCAAAATATTTCATTATATCTTATAACTATTTTCCTACAAGATCAAAAGTCAACTGTGAAAGGAAAGTAATGTGAACTAAACACCTACATTCATTCTAGACACTTGGTCAAATATTTAGAGTAATGATAAATTGAGAGAACCAGAAACTACCATAAATAGGAGGAAACGCAAAAAGCCCATTTCGGGGAGACAAAACTCAGATGAGACTGGAAAGGTTACTGTTTTGGAAATGTCAGTGGGTCACCAGGAGAAAGCCTGTACTCTCTACTTAGCAGCTGAAGACAAATAAGGTAGATATCAGTCTCCAATTATGCTGCTCATTAAATACAGAAGTGAGCTATTCATCACGAAAAACCCAGGAATTACTAATGGAAACACAAGTTACCTAAAAATGATAGCAAATATTGTAACTGAAATTATAATTCCTAACCAGAAAAGTCTTTCCAGGAAATATGGATAGTTATAAGAGTTAAAATTTGATGTTTTGCTTTAGAAGTAAATTCTGCTCTAAACTTTAACTTATCTCTTTAGTAGATAGAGAACACGTACACAAATATTTACAAAAGTTGAACATAAGACATTTAATTTTAAGTGTTAAAGCATGAAGTACAATTTAAAAAAATATAAAATATGGAAAACTTTCTGCTCAAAGGGAGCAAGAAAGAAGAGAGAAATCATTTTCCTATGTGTTATTTTTAAAGGAAACTAGAATTCACTTACCCCAACATTGTTACATCTAGTCACCATGTTTCTAAATTCATCTTCATTTCCAGATCTTGTGCATAATTTATAGCTAACTGGTTGGTATCTTTCCCACCAAGGTCTTGAAGGGTTGTGAATTGCAACATTTTCATTTGGTGGAGAGACCTACAAATGTAACAGTCTTAATAAGCACCAAATTGTGTCTTACCCTATAACATTGGATGTTCTAGAAACTCATCAATAATATAAAAATATTCTTGAATCTTTGTATAGGCAGCTATCTTTTGAAAATATTAACAGCACATTGGAGGATTCTCGTTGAAGAAAGATTATCTCAGAAACAAAATATAAAGTTGCCAAAAATACTACATTGGTCTTTCCTCAGAAAACTGTTTTACTTAGAATACTTACCTGGGAAGTAAAATGTTGCCCAAGTTTCAAAGATCAGATCAGAACACTATTTACTACAAGCACAGTGAATTCTGCAATTTATACTATGAATAATACCCACCTGAACCCCTCCAAATCCCTTGGGAGCTAAATATCGCTCACATTCAAGAGCAATATCCGCCCATCGCCATTCAAACAGATGAACGATAGATGTCCGTCCTTGTTGTGTATTTGGGGAATACTGAGCCCAGCAGAACCCAATGGTTAAAAGCAACAGAAAGAACTTCATTTTGCTGTGAAGTTGTCAGTGTCCTTTCCAGAAACTATTTATATTCCTGTAAGAAGCACATTTTACAAAGTAAATATTAGCATTAATAAATACTTGAGAACAAACTGTTTATTCGTAATCTGAAAAGGTTTATCAATAATAATTTTAACAGGTGAAGAACATTAAAAAGTCTCTCATGGAAATAACTTAATGACCTTTTAGAAACTAATGTTTCTTTTTTTTTTTTTGCTTATATCAGCACTTTTATTTTTCCTTTCTCAATGACGTGTTGCTGTGGCCTAATGCTCTCACATAACAGTAGACAACCAAAATTTGTTGTCATCTCTTTAAAGATCGAGAATTGCGTACAAAAAACTTTACATAAATTAAAAGGAGGAATACATTTACAGCTATAAATGTGAACTGCTTCCAACTCAAGGCAAGTAACAGCCCACAGGGTTCTGGCAGACAACATAAGCTAAGAAAGGAAACTGGGTCCTATGGCTTGGACTTTCCAACCCTGACAGATTGACAGGACAGAAACAACTGGTTCAGGAGTCCTTGTCAGCCTCTAGACAAATCCCAGAACACTCAGCCCTGACACATTAATAACCTGCACACATCAGAGACTGCTGGCCATGCAGACTCACCAAGCCACAGACTTGTCTTCCACAAGCACGTTTTTAGCCATGAAGTGACCAAGCCACATGTACTAAAGACTGAAATCCAAGATATGTACAGATACCAAGGGGAACTGTTAATTTGAACGCGAGGTCAAAATCAGCAACCATTTCTACAGTCCAGTGCCGATATCAGATACAAGCTTCAAGGACAACTTATTTTCGAAGGCTCATTCCAGTTTGGTGAGGCTAACATGAGGTATATGCATCTGCCAGGGGCAAATTTATACTTCTGAATTAACCCATGCAGCAAATTCTAGGCATCTGCTCACAGTCCATTTAGAAGCATTTGTGGTAGATGATAGAGGGGGCCAACTCGTTGTACCACTGCTTGCTAATCCACATCTGCTTGAAGGTGGACAGTGAGGCCAGGATGGAGCCACCGATCCACACCGAGTACTTGTGCTCTGGGGGTGCGATCATCCTTGATCTTCATGGTGCTGGGTGTGAGGGTGGTGATTTCCTTCTGCATCCTGTCAGTGATTCCCAGGTACACAGTGCCACCGGACAGCACCGTGCTAGCCTACACGTCTTTGCAGATGTCCACGTCACACTTCATCATCGAGTTGAAGGTGGACTAGAGGGATGCCGCAGGATTCCATGCCCAGGAAGGAATGCTGGAACAGCGCCTCAGGACACCAAAACCTCGTTGCCGATGATGATGACCTGGCCATCAGGCAGCTCATATCTCTTCTACTGAGAGGAGGAGGAGGATGCGGCAGTGGCCATCTCCTGCTCAAAGTCCAGTACAACATAGCACAGCTTCTCCTTGATGTAGTGCCTGATCTCCCGCTCAGCAGTGGTGGTGAAGCTATAGTCGCCCCTGGTGAGGATCTTCATGAGGTAGTTGGTCAGGTCCTGGCCAGCCAGGTCCAGATGCAGGATGGTGTGGGGGAGGGCGTAGCCCTCATAAATGGGCACCATGTGGGTGACCCCATCTCCAGAGCCCATGACAATGCCAGTGGTGCAAATAGAGGTGTAGAGGGGCAGCATAGCCTGGATGGCCACGTAAATGGCCAGGGTGTTGAAGGTCTCAAACATGATCTGAATAATCTTCTCTCTGTTGGCCTTGGGGTTCAGGGGGGCCCTGGTCAGCAGCACCGGGTGCTCCTCCAGGGCCACATGCAGCTCCTTGTAGAAGGTGTGATGCCAGATCTTCTCCATGTCGTCCCAGTTGGTGACGATGCCACGCTCAATGGGTTACTTCAAGGTCAGGATGCTGCGCTTGCTCATGGCCATGTCGCCCACATAGGAGTCCTTCTGGCCCATGCCCACCGTCACACCCTGGTGCCGGGGGCACTAATGATGGAGGGAAACACGGCTGGGATGTGTCGTCCCCAGCAAAGCCAGCTTTGCACATGCCGGAGCCATTGTCAATCACCAGCACGGCGATCTCTTCTTCCATTGAGACTGGTGGAGGAGTGGGACAGCAGAGTGGCGGGACAACATGGTGCGTGGGCTGACAGAGGTGACTGAGACCCTGTTTTTTTCTTACTGATACAATCTTAACCTTTACAAACCTCTGGCAATGTGTATACACACACTCACACACACACACATAACACATAAATGAGGACAGTAAATATATGTTTACACACATAAGGACTATATTTTTATATACATACACACACATATCTATATAGTCCTTGTGTATGTGGGCGTGTGTGTGTGTATATATATGTATATATATGTATGGTTTGGCTGTGTCCCCACCCAAATCTCATCTTGAATGTGGTTCCCATAATCCCCATGTGTTGTGAGAGGGACCTGGTGGGAGGTCATTGAAATTGAATCATGGGGGCGGTTATCCCATACTGCTGTTTTCATGATAGTGAGTGAGTTCTCCCAAGACCCGACGGTTGCATAAGGGGCTTTTCCCCCTTTTGCTCAGAATTTCTCCTTCCTGCCATCAAGTGAAGAAGGATGTGTTTGCATTTGCTTCCCCTTCCATCATGATTGTACGTTTCCTGAGGCTTCCCCAGCCATGTGGAACTGTGAGTCAATCGAATCTTTTTCCTTTATATATTACTCAGTCTTGGACACTTCTTTATAGCAGCATGAGAACAAACTATATATATATATATGTATACACACACACACACACACTGTACTATATATGTAACAGTACATATATATAACACTGTACATATACTGTCCACATATATAAATTCTTTATATATGTGTGTATATATATAAATCCTAATTAAATAAATAAGGACTGTATTTTATTTCTGATATCCGTCACTAATGGAAAATAACAATTGAAACCAACTGAATTCTCAAAATATTGCTTCAACTGTATATTTTCAAATTTTTGTCATGCTTCCATTTCAAACAGAAATATTATGTGACATTTCCATTTTTTAAATCAGCCCTGTTTCCCATCCTTAATTCAAATTTTTTGTTATTTAAATTTCTGCATTAAGATTTAAGAAAACATTTACAATCTGAAAGCCTATGAATTGGAGAAACTAACTTTTTTCCCCTCGAGCAAGTCATGTGCTTAATATAGTGCATATAGCAGTAGGATTTGTGGTGGTGGTGGTTTTCTCCCTGTAGGCAAATATTTATTGTACCTGATGAAACGCTAAATAAATAAATTTGCATACCTTTTCCTTCTTAATGTAAGTGAAATGCTATGAAAGGGAGTAATAGTACATGTAGGAAAAACTTCATCCATTCAACAAGTGTTAAGTGTGTGTCTGTTTTTTGCTAAGCACTGTAGGTGATGTTCAGGAGACAATGATAAAAAAGACAGGTTTCTGTTCTCAGAGAGCTTACTTTCTAGTGGAAAGAAAATATATTAGTAAATAACAGTAATAGCAACAGTACTAATAGTGATGATAAAAATAATTTCAGATAGCAATAAGAACTAGTATAAAATCATAAAATAGAGAGTGACTTTTCCGTCAGTGTATTTTAGACTGGATGGTAAGGGAAGACATCCCTTAAAAGAGTGACTTTATGATGTGATTTAAATGATTAGAAGTGTCCAGTCATTTAGAGATCAGAGAAAGAGCAATAGATAGAGGAAACAGCAAGAGTAATGTCCCAAGAAAGGAAAAAGCTAATACACGAGACACATTAAAAAGAAATCAGTGTGGCTACAGCACATGTGATAAAGGGTGGGATAAAGCGAGATGAGATCAGAGAGGTAGGCCAGATCATGTAGAACCTTGTAGAACATGAAGAAAGAGAGCTGTTAAGGCTGTAACATGGGGAACTGAAACACTAATAGACTTTAAAAAGAAAATCACCCTTGCTTCTGGGAAGAAATCAGATTATAGGAGGATAAGAGTGGAAAGAGGTAGATGTTAGAAGACTTTTACAGTGGCCCAGGAAAGAGGTGAGTGGCTTGCACTAGGGCATAGACAAGGTCTATTTCAGAGGTAAACAGGCAGTAGGTTTATGAATAGATTAGAGCTGAAAGATGAGGAAAAAATATTTAATATATAGGTATTTCGGGGTGATACCATTTTTTAACATGAGAAAAAATGAGTAAGTACCAGCTTTGATGAAGAGTATCAAGAGAACTGTGGATCTTAACTATTCCACTCTCGATCCTGATGCTGCCCTTTGGTCCTTCCCCCAGCCAATCCTGTGAACTCTATTCCCATCACAAAGCGTTCCCCATCATTTTTCTATGCAATCGTCATCACCTCCTGCTTTCTATGGTTTTCTTTCCAATATCATCCCTTTCCACATCCAACCTAGGTGCGCGAAGCAACCTATTATCTTCCACACTAACGCTTCCAACCCCAACTGTTATGAACGCTTCACCTTTATACTTCACACAAGCACAGTTACTGCTTCCTGCTGGTATGAAAGCTTTTTATTATATGACATTAGCTAGTATTTCGCTTCTATTGTAGACTTCATTATCGCAATAATTAACAATTTACTTGCTCATTCTGGACAACAGCTTGCCTTGAAGGCAGATTCATACTCTAGTATTCCAATCCTAGTACCAATGATTAGACATTGTCTTATGTGCTCCATAAATCATGAACCATGTAAACTCCTCACAGGTCCAGGTATGGTGCAAAACCATTGGCATAGCATGGTTATGCGCTCACTCTTGATTTTTCTAAAAAACTGCGATGACTCTAATATCAGGAGGAAATGTTCAAGTAACACCGACTCTAATCCTAGCAAAAGGCGTGTTGTAACACATGGATGGACTAAGGCCGCAACCAGAGATTCGCATGAAATTGTCAGCCATGTCTGGTACGATGACAAAGGACAGGATTTGATAATAAGACCTTATTGAAAGTCAACTTCTCTGTAGTACCAGACTAATGTTTCTCTAGAATTCTAGCAGTTTGTGATGCTAGTGGAGCACAGAAACAACTTGGCCCTAACCAGTTGAAATACTATGTGAGTTTGAAACAAGATGAGTAATAATGTAAACACACTCCTGGATTAGGCTGAAAATAAATGTTAAAAAATTAATTTTTTATGACGATTGACTGTCTGAACTAACATATGTGATACATTAGGCTAATAGAACTTTACCAGTTAACATTAAGGTTCCCTAGCGTGCCTTTTTGCTCGTTTCCTTAATGCAGTTGGAAAAAATGTTGACAGAATACATACATGATTTTACATTCCCTATTTCTACCTTAGACAGCGCTGTTCAAGAAGTCTATGGCGAGTTAGAGAACGATACGTCATACACACAAAACACAAACAATAAAGCAAAGATACTGGAACGCATCAATTTAAGAGGGTACGGATACAGTCGCTTCAAGGATTCCTTGATAGAAAAGGTTCTCTTCACATGAAAAAGAACACACAACACTGACAACAACACAGAGTAAGGTAAAATACTTTACACGTAAGAAAAACTCGATGTAGAGACAGGCACACAGCACGAAGCAATACAGTGTTTTAGAAGCTTAAGTCAACAGTGCGAGGGAGCATTCGGCATTTAAAGTTTCGCGGAAACGGTATATTGGAGACACTCAAAATCAGGGAGAAGAAAAAAATACTTTCCTCAGAAGGTTTTTTGGTTGTTTTAAACAGGAAAGTAATAATAAAAACTTTTAATTATATCAGATGGGCCAGAAAACAGAGATAGGAACATTAGTAAGCAGAACAGTGATGGAAATCTGAACTTGGATTATAGCAGTAAGAATGAAAATTAGGGAAGTGTGATAGATTGTTATATTAAAGGGCATCCAATAAATGACACTTCCCAGTATCCATACCTATATGGAGTCTCTTTCTAAATAGACTATGGAATTAGCTTGATATTTATTTTATCCAACGAGGTATCAGCAAACAAGACACAAGCAAAGTTTGACTGGGGTTTGCAGAAGGGAGTTTGATCTCTTGAAACTCTGAGATCATACATTGTGCTGTGAGCATAACTGGGATGAAAGATCCCTTGAAGTCTAGTTGTCCCTAGTCATTCCAACAATCTGAGTTGACTCACCAGCTAACAGTCGAGTGATATGCCAGGAAAAAACATGGTGTATATAATCAGCCCTCTATATCCATGGGTTCCACATCGCCAGATTCAACCACGGAAGAACATATTTTTAAAGAAGGATAGTTGTATCTGTGCTGAACATATAGACTTTCCTGTCATCATTCCCTAAACAATGTAACTGTCTGCATAGTATTTGTATTACAGTAGATATTACATATCTAGCAATATAGAGATGATTTAAAGCATACAGGAGGATGTGCATAGTTTACATGCAAATACTATGCTATTTTATATAAGGCACCTGAGCATCTGTAGATTTTGGCATCCATGGGAGGTCCTGGAACCAATACCCCACAGATACTGGAAAGATGACTGTACAGGGCTTGGTACTATCTGTGGTTTCAGGCATCTTCTGGGGGTCTTGGAATATATACCCCGGGAACAGGGGGGGAAATGTTTATGTAAAACAGACAGGGGAGATACAACAGACTTGGTGGAGACTGTACAGAAAATGGTGGTTAATCAGATATAAGAGAATAGCGAATATAAAGAGTGAAATGGGGACTCTGTGATTTAAAGTTTGGGTGAATGTTAGAAAGGCCATGTATTTATGACTGATAGTGCAATCTAAAGGCAGATTTGGTTTAGAGAAACCAATTAACTAATATGGGGACATACTGAGGTAGAGGTACCACTTTTAAAACAAATGGGTATATAAAAACAATTTAAAAAAAGATATGAAGAAAGCAGCAGAGAATTGGGAGTTTTCAACAAGCAATGACTGTGAGAAATGGAACACTAAATACTTAACTGATTTAGCACAGACACTGAACGGAACAGATGCTATCCCTAATCAACTACTATATAGAGGGCAGTGCACACTGGCTGAATTATCAGGCCTGGAGAGTTGCATCCTTGAGGGCTGACAAAATACCAAAAAACATGTTGGGTGAAGCCACCATCTTTACAAATGATGGGTTATAGGGAGTAGGAAGGAGAGAATAAAGAGGTGCCTTCAAAGTAGCAAAGGGAGTTTTATTACCTGAGATGATTTTAAAAAAAACAAATAGGGAAGGAAAATTTGCAGGCAGTACAAGATATTAACTGGATATGGGTGAGTATCAGAATCTAAATAGAAAACTGACTAGACAGTGATACAGGGCTGATGGTGTAAAGAGTTGACAGTTAGAGAAGAGGGGCACCATTTGAACTTTATGCTTGACTCAAGGTTCCAAATGTGAAAATGTAATTGTTAGGAGTTAAAACAAACTATAAATCCTGACTTTTCCATTTATAACCTCTGTGATGCTGGAAAATAACCTCTCTAAATGTATGTATGAACTAGAAAAAGTAATATTTACCTCAAAGAGTTATTGTGATTAAACAAATAATGCAAATAAAGCTGTTATCCCATTGCATGGATACAGCAACAGCTCAATATGGTTGATAATGTTATTTTTGTATTGGTATTTTTACCTGGTCCTATTAAAAATCCTATCAACTCATACTGTCTTCCTGCCTTCACTCTACTAACACGTGGCCCTTCTGTCTTCCCATTCTACTTTTCTGAACTTCTAATGTTTCCTACTTCTCAGAATTATTTTCATTTCTACTAAAAGAATGGGCAGAGATGAAAAGGAATCACCAATATTTTATTCCTGCAATTTTTTCCTTCCTTCCCTCACACTATTCCCTTACTATTCAACAAGCAATAGCCTATTGGCTTAGACGATTTCTGGCATATCCACGTTAGTTTTGAAATATACTTTTCATCTATGCCACATTAATGAACTCTGTTCTTGTAATAACAAATCAGCATTTTTCACAATGCATTTGGAATGTTGGTAAAATAAGGGATAATTTGCAGACATAATTTAGGGAATTAGCACTACACAAAAGGTAGAGTTAAACACACATATAATAAGCTTCTACCACGATCAGGCATTGTCATATATTTTCTCAATCTTAATTTTAACCTCAAACAAGCAATCTGAAGTGCTATATACCCCATAGGAGAAGCATTACAACAGTTAAAGTATATTTATGCCTTCTGAAATAAAAATCTGCACAAACAATTCTTGGCATCTTTGGCATCAAAAACAACACCACAAAAAATAAGGATTTAAAATAGTTGTTATATCTACTTTCTGGAATAGTTATTCTAAAAGAGTTATCCTTAGAGAAGCTATCCAGTTATTAGTAATATACAGCATTATTGCCCATATTTTGTACTTCCTAGAATGCGCTACAAAGAGAAAACTTGCCTTTACTCTAAAGCTCTAATGGTTACTATAATGTGCCAAATGACATATCTTGGGAATTCCCTGAGAATATGAAATAGGACATTTGATAATATCCTGACAACAAAGCAATAGTCACTAAAGATTATTTGTATTTGGAGTGTCAAAACATATCCTCTCTTCTCATCTGGGCTCATACAAAAAAAAAAAAAATATATATATATATATATATACACACACATATATATATATATCCAGTGTCAAGAATTAACTCAAAATTAGCCAGTTTCTGAGGGTCTCAAAAGTATTTTTTCAATCAATATCATATATGAGGTATTTATGTGACATCCATAATACATATGGCATTATAGGAAAACAGTTCTAGTGTAAATGCAGTATTCCTCTTAACACATCAAGTACCATAAATTTAATCATTTAGCTTAAAGTTTACCTAAATCACACCAAAGTCATGACTTAAATAAATGAAAGAGCTCTATTAAAATGTTAAGCAGAAAGTAGCAACTTCCAAATAACCTGTCTTTCTAGAACTTCCTTTGTACTTATATAAGTATCAGTTATTTACAAGTTCTTTCCTCCTAGCCAAAGTAGCCTCACATTTGTACCAGATACTATAGTTTTTAACATGCTAATGAATTAACATTGACCAAAAAAAGACAAGTTATCTATTAATGTCATTCATAGTTCTTGGCCTAGATGCCTTATAAATATCTTTGGAAGTAATTTAATGTGATTAAAAATTACAATTGAAATACTTTAATGTCACATTTATGAACTTGATCAAGTTAGTTGATTCTCTTACTAAAAAATAAAAAGTCTGAATTCCTCTGAGTTTTGCAATAAATTATGTACAATTTTCTCAAAAGAATAAACCTTCAACCACCAGCCCTTCCACCAACAGTTTTCTATTTTTCTTCTGAAAATAAAATAACAAAGAAAATAAACCTGAACTCAGGATAAGTTGCATGTGAAGGTTAGAGGAAAGAAAGCACAGATAATCAAGTTTGCCTACCAGATCTCTGAAATCAGAGACACCTTTTGAGCCAAGGTTAAGACACATTTTCAATATAAATAGTACATTTTGTACAGCACAGCACTGAAACATGATTTGTCAACAAACTGAAAATAGATTGTGAAACTCTATATCAAATCATGTGACAGAAACCACTTATTTCAAGACAAAAAGTTGGCAGAGGACTTACATGATACTCAAAAAAACATTAAAATAACTTACCACTTTAATTTCTTTCAATCAGCAATCTCCCAAACCCACAGTTCAGTGTTTTACAATCATAAAATAACAAAGTCTCACAGTTCTGGTTTTGGTTTTTCTTCAGTTGGAAAAAAAAAATGCTGAATTTAGAATTTCATAGATTTTCTATAACCTCTTACTTTCAATATGTGGCCCTACCATCCTACTACAATCCTTCAAATCAGATTCGTACAAGCAGTCTTCTCTGAACTCCAGTATTACAACAGGTTGGTCACTACACTCGTTTCCTAAGCAAACCACTGTCTTCTCTCCTCTGCTCAATTTGCTGCCCTGCCACCTCTTCTTACTACACTATATCTCATCTGCTTTCTTTTTGTCTTCCTTCCTTTTTCTACAATACCCTCTCCCAATCTCTAATTTTTTTCCCTGAACCATTTATATTTATACCAACATATAGGAAATATATAGAGAATAAACATATATGGAATAAAATAACCTTAATAAAGTAATCTAAATATATATATACACACACACACACACACATATATATATATATATATAATAAAATAAAATAACCTCCTTAATAAAATCACCTTAAAGACCAGATTGACATAGGACTGGGTTAAATTAGTTAAATGAGACTAGAATGTAAGCAAAATCACAAAATCAAAAATTTAACTCTTTGAGATCAGCCTGGCCAACATAGTGAAACCTGTCTCTACTAAAAGTACAAAAATTAGCTGGGCATGGTAGCTGGCACCTGTAATCCCAACTACTCAGGAGGCAAAGGCAGGAGAATTGCTTGAACTCAGGAGATGGAGGTTGCAGTGAGCCGAGATCGTGCCACGGCACTCCAGCCTGTGCAACAAGAGCGAGACTGTCTCAAAACAAACAAACAAACAAACAAACAAAATTTAACTCCATGCGTCACCATCTACTAGACGCTTCACCATGAACATTTTTTTTTTCTATATGAACCTTAGAAAAAAATTAAAGTCTATGGATTTCATACTAGATCCTCAATTAGAAAATGAGGATATTGTTGATATGTATATATATATAAATAAAATAACCACTAACAACATAGTTACTATGTGCCATTTCCAAACATTATCACTTTTACTTCTCACACATGCATACCTTACATGATAGAAATATGATTATCCCCATTTTTAAAATGAGAAAACAGAAACACTAAAAATTTATTATGGCCAAATTGTAGTACATGTTGGGACTGAATTTCAAAGCCAAGAAGCTTAAATCCACAGTGAGCTCTTACCTACTAATCAGTATTGATATTCCCTTTCACTGGATTGTTAGAAAAATCAAATAAAATATTATGTGAAAATATTTTAAAATCTGAGTTCTGCTTAATCTGATTTTTAAAAGATTAACAGTAGTAAAAATTCTTCAAAAATAATGTCTTGGAAGATTAAAAATACAAGAGTAATTTCAAAAATAAAAATGACTGCAAACTGGAATAGAACAGTGTTCAAGTATTCTAAGGTCACATTATTGTCTTTGGCAATGGACACAGACATTAACCTTGGACTTTGAGAATATGCATGGGTAAAATCAGTGCTAATCATTAACAAAACAGAAAGTGTGCCTAATTCCTGTGGTATAGGGTTAAAAAAAAAAACAGATTAATAAAAATAATTTAAAAGAAGGGAAGAATACAAAAAATGAGTGAATACAGTGAATATAGCAAATATAACAATAATTATATCCAATGTAAATTGATTGTTTCTGCTAAATGCATTTTCAGACAGATTTTTTTAAAAACAGAGATACAAAAAAGGTAAAGGTAAAGCTAGGACCAAATAATCAATGTAAATTCTAACCAAAGGAAAGAGAGTGTAGCTTTATTAGTATTGCACAAAGATCTAAGGCAAAATTAATGCCAAAATAAAATGGTCGTACATTCATAATTAAAAATGTTTGACTCTCTGACTAGAAATTCAACAAATATATGTGTTTACTCGCCTTATAACATATTTAAAATTGCTAAAACAAAAAAAAATTGACAGTACAATAATCGGGAAATCCACCATTATGAGAGAGTTTTAACAAAATAACTATATTAAGAACAAGCAGATTTGAACAAGTTTTAATTAACCTGACCAAATGCACGTATGGAGAACATATTATTTTTTTAATTGTCTCTATACAGTCAGAAGTTGAGTCTTTTAAAGGACTGAAATAAAATAGAATATTCTAATTGGACTAAGATCATATAGCATGCTCTTGTTAATATGAAAATTTATTTCCAAGTATTTTGTTGTTATAAGAAGTGTTATAATGAACATCTGTATACATGTTTACACACAAGTGAGTAATTCTGTAGGCTAAATGTATGTGAAACTTGAAGCATATTTTTATATTTTCATATTATGCAAAATTGTCCTTACAAAGGTATCAACTTTTACTCTCTAGCAGCAAATATTATAGTACGTTTTGCAACACTCCCACTAAAAATTATTATTATAGCTCTAATTTTTGCCTAATAGATTAAAAATGATTTGTTTTTCCCAATTACTAGCAAGGCTGAACATCATTTCACATTTTTTTTTGCCTATTGCGTTTTCTTTTGAAATTTGCTTCTTCCTTTTCGCATCTAGTTTTGCTTTATTTTTTTTTTCTTATTGAATGTTTGGAGTTCTTATGTTATCATCATTTGTCATGTATTGCAAATATATTGTCCTAATAGATCACTGTTGTTTTTTGAAGTCTTTCTATTGCAAAATTAAGTAATCATGGATGCTGGTAAGAATTAGGACAGTGCCAAAGGTATGCCTGCATTATTATTTTTTGTCCAACTACAGTCATGCATTGCTTAATGACAGGAGTATGTTCTGAAGAGTAAGTCTTTAGGTAATTAAGCCACTGTGCAAATGTCATAGATTGGACTTCCATAAACCTACGTGGCATAGCCTATTCCTCCTAGGCTACAAACCTGTAAAGCATGTTATTGCACTGGATACTACAGGCAACTGTAACACAATGTACTGGTGTATCTAAATATATCTAAACATAGGAAACTTTCGATAAAAATGTGGCATAAGAAACTTAACTGGATCACCATCATATATACAGTGCATGACTGTATTCACCATGCAAAAGGTTTTAATTTTTAAAGTGATTATTTGTTTAACTACAGGTACTATTTCAAGACACCGCATTTTTTGTTCTTTCAAGATTATCACTCCAATCGATAAATTCCTTCTATATATTTTCCTGTTTCTTCTGATTTCATATATGCACGTTAGCTACTATTTTATCACAAATCCATTCAGTGAATCCTGCCCCTCACCGCAATGAAATACCTTCCCATCACTGTCTGATTTTGGGATCGTCTCATGTGATTTCTCTGCTTTCCTG